TGATTATTTTGAATTTTTTCGCTCATTTCTAAAATCTTTAAGTTAAGATATTTTTAGGCCTCCGGGCTTCTCCGGGGCCCCACGCGGCTGCTTAGTCCGCTTACTGCTTAATCCGCCCCTGAATGTGAACCAGAATATCCAAAGCTGAATGCATGTTTCAATGTTTGAAAGAAATGTTTATCTAAAGCATATTTTTCTTTACCACAAATCATTTTAAACTGTACTGATTAAGAATCGAACTGCAAAAGTTTTAAGTTAATTTGCTATCGAACAGTTTGCTGCCATGGACAAAGTCGCGATACTATTTATTCCAACTTTTACGCAATAACTTATAAGAAATAATGTCAACTACTCAGAATATTGACAGCTGATACTATAATGCTCGAAAGAAGCGTATATCTAACATTTTTTAAATCACTTAAGTTCGCAGTTTACTGATTAAGAACTGCAGAAGACTACAGTGTGTTATGTTACTCGTAGGAAGACAAATTGTTATCTTACGCCCGATTTAAGAACTTGCAACGGGAAGAGATACGAAATAATTCGAAAGACGCTATCGCTGACCCACCTTTGAAATATAAATACGATGTTGCTGAAAAGATAGGCGATGCTCTACTAGATGATGAACACCTCAAAACAGTATGATTAATTATTTTCTTTTCTATATTGCCAAAACGCTCTTAAATAGATTTAACGCGAATTTACATTTTTGTAGCTTGTTCACTTCGCTGGGGAAACCGAGCTGCTGAGGCTGAGTAAGGTTCACAAGGAACCTTTATACAACCACACTAAGAAAGGTACAAAAAAATTGTTATCGAAGTGGAATGAAGGTTTATTAAAATTTTGCAGATTTAACAAAAATGTATACAAATTTACAGATGTGGAACAGATACTGTCTAGTAGTAACGATGCCAAGAACAAGAGCTCCGTTTGGAATTTATGGCACGAAGAGCTAACTCCAGCTTCGTTGGTTAAAAACTTCTCCATGGTTCTTCCACTTGTCGACACAGCAGCCAAAGCAAATGGTTAGTAACATAAGATTCAGTGAATCGCATTTTTCATCGAATTGTTGTTAATTGAATATGATCTTGCTTTTAGATGCCGAAAGCATCGAAGAATATTGGGAGCTCTTGAGCGGATATACCAACGGTTATGATCTAATTAAGAGTGAATGGAGTAGAATAGAGGGTCTTCATAAGAAAATATTAAAATTCGCCATTACAACTTTATCTCAGAAATATAAAATTAACATGAACGGCACGATACCAGCTCATTTACTTGGTAAGGCAACACTATTTTCTTTATAAATTTCAATGGACTTGTGATTGCTAGACTGGAAACTTTTATACAAAATAAAAGTTGGCTATCAATTTAAGAAATGATATTTAGTAAGAATATTCTTTAGCACTAAACCTACCACTACCAATAATTTTCAAACGTTTTTCAATTTTTAATACTCTTTTCAAGTTTATTATAATTAAAATTATACAGGGTTTTTACAATTAAAATTATACAGGGTGTCCCCGGATTAAACGATCAAACTGCGCCAGTATGTTCTATGAGTAAAAGCAACAGAAAATAAGTCTGGAAACGCCTGTATAAAAATAAATTCGTGTTGTCGATCTATGAAAGTTGTTAATTCAATAACAAATTTATTATTTTCTATGTTTAAAAGAACAATAACTTCAATTAAAGACCGGTAATTTTGAGGACTCGGTAGGAACAGGTATACAAAAAGTGTCTGTAGGTTCAACGTTAAACGTTGCACAATGCATTTTTCTATTAACACGTTGGATGCCACGGGGTCACCGGTGACCGGCACTCAACTTGGCAGTGACGCCATGGGGCTACCGGTGACCCCGTCGCAATTAACATGTCAAACATTGTTACACATTGTAACTTATCTATTGCAGATAATATTTCAACATTATATGTATCGCATAATAGAAAATTCATCGTGGCACCACGGACAATCCTTGTAAAATTGGCGTGGCATTCAACGTGTTCATACTTTATTCACTACTGTTCATTTTTTTACATTTCCTATATAAATCATTTTGCTATAAGTGCATAAAATCCGCACTCTAGTAATCGGAATATTCTTGTGAAAGGTTCATTACAAGGAAGCGACTGGACGCCTATATCGATCGATGTAACACCTCACCCAGACGTCATGTACAATATAAAAAAGAACCTCTGGAAGCAGGTGAAAAATAATCTTCTTTTTAATTAGCTCAACGAGATACGAACAGAATCTAATTAATCTATTTTAGAAACTTCTTGGGAAATCTATGTACAAAACCGCTTCCGCTATGAGTTCGCAAATATTAAGTCAAGTACCGCAGGCCAATTTCTGGAAAGAAAGTAATTTCAATGGACAATGTCCATCAAGATTGATTAATTTCTGCAGAGATGTTGATCTGAGGTACTTAAAAATCAAATGGTTCAATCGGCACTCGAAATAATCAATTTAATTCTATGACATTTGCTCGGAACTCCATGTTGCAGAGTGTCCACGTGCTTCGAGCCTAGCATAAATAATTTCCTCGCCGCTCACAAGGACGTAGGGAAAATCGTATTTAATCAATTATCTGCCGAGGATACTCCAGTCCTGAATACAGCGAACCGTTATTCGCGTAAGTACGTAAAATAGTATGAAGCGCGTCCGAGTTGCATTTAAAATAATTAATTTTGTTGTACAGCTCTAGAGGAAGCCGTGTCGGAGCTGTTTGGTATTTTAGCGGCGAGTCCTGCCTGGTTAAATTACACACGCGCTATAGATGATTCTACCGACAACGAACAACGTTTAATCGCCTCTCTAATGATAACAGCACTGAACACGTTACCGAGGATCGCTTACTATATGTCCGCGGACCTGTGGAGGATCAATGCCATCCAGAAAGGAATTACAAATTCTGACGATTTAGTGTCATCGTGGTGGGAATATAGGTATAACTTTGAATATTGCGATCTCTTTTTCCAGGCAAATTTTTCTAGCTATACTTTTGTTTTACAGAGCAGAATACGAAGGCCTTGATTCGAAAGGGACCAAACTTCCGACGTTTCTTAATGACGAATACATCACCAGCAATAAACCATATCTCCCGTGAGTGTAATAAACATTTTATGCAACATTAGTCATTTATGGTATCAGTTTAAACGATATATTTCATATATATACATTACTTTTACCGTTAGAATTCTGAAAAATGCATTCAGGTTTTGATCTTCGATTTTGTGAATCCATAATTTTTGCACATTTTCTTATAAATACATAAAATTTATTATCTAGTAATAGCGAAATACATGAGTAATTAAATACAGTGACTGCTATTAATCTTCAGGCACATTTCAAAATGGAATAACTTTTTTGATGTTCAACTAAACAACTTAATTTTCTGTTGGATGTTAAGAAGGCTTACTTTACTACATGTATAATTGTATACTGCAACAAAATATTTTGCTATTCGTCAAAGTCTCGAATTAAAAGGTAAAGGACATGATTTTTAAGTCTTTTGTTAGGGTCTCTAATAAAAATTTAAAACATCTGATTTGTAAATCTAATCGTAAGTTATATGCATGTACAAAGTTCCGTCAAAATCGGTACAAGCTATTAGAAATTTTAAAGTCGCAGTTTTTCACGACTTTCGGTCTACAGTTGAGGTAAATAGGAGAATTTTTATGTATTTCCATGTGTCTTTTTTATACTTTTAACAATCTGGATTTTGTACATGCATATAACTTACAATTAGTTAGATTAAATAGGATGTTCCAAAATTTTATCGGAGACCTTAATAAGAGGAGTCATGCCCATTTCTTTTTTCTTCAAAATTGTTACGAATTTTTTGAATTTTTATCTGCCTATTATATGCCTTCTAACAGTTGTTTGATCCACTATTAAAAAAGTTATTCTACTCTAAAATGTGTCCGAGTATTAATGGAAGTAATTGTATATTGCAAAGTGTACTAATACTGCGGACTTTTATGCAAAACAAAGCATTTATGGTATGAGTTTAAAAAATACGTTTTAGATAGACATTTCTTATACCATTTAAAAATTACAATATAAATTCATCTTTTAATATTTTGTATACTTTCATACATGGCGAAATTTTTGTCTTCTTCAGATATAATTTTCTTATAAATTTCTTACAATTTGCAATCCATTTATTAATAAATGTATTACCTGTTTACAGAAAAATGGCTGGAACGATATTAGCATTTCAATTATACGAATACCTGATGAGTTCCACGGAAGTTAGATACGATTTGATCACTGTAAGACCGATAAATGTTAATTTCTTGTAAGTACTCGAATCCCAATGAAACAATCTCTCATACGAATTATTAGAAATAGACGTTCGTCTCTTTAACAGAAAAATGATTCAACAAGGAAGTGCCTACGATTGGATGAAAGTGACCGAGGAATATTTAGAGATAGATGAAGTTTCCTCAAGCTCACTGATCTCGTTCTTTTCACCGTTGGAGGACTTTATCGACGAGCTGGATGAGGATTTCGAGTACAAACCGGTTACTGCCAAAGAGTCGGAATTAGAGGAACTGGCGAAAAGAATAATCGCCGAAGTGAATGCTCCACCGACGACCACTACTACGACTACTACTACAACAACACCTAGACCTCTGGTCACGAGAACGAAGGCTAACAAACAAAACGATGGGAGGAGCGATATCAACGTTATAGCTAATCGGAACAAAAATTTAACATCGAAATCTCCTGCAGCAGAGAGTAAGATGAGATCTCCGGAGAATCGTAATGTGTTAGAATCAACGACCTCGGAACCTGAAGCTGATCCTGTCGATAAACCACTAATGAATGATAATTCGGGTGATGAGAAACCAAAGATTAATACTAGTAAAGCGGTGTGGGCCGTGGGCGCGGTGTTGTTAGCAACGATAGTTATTTGTATAATCGCGATCTTTGGAAGGCAAAGATGTCGCAAGACACCAAAAAATAGACGGTACGTTTAACGGTATCTTTGATCATTAAAAAGAGAAGCAATTTATACCATATTTATTCTTGCATTTAGCTAGTAATTTTTGCCCGAGTAAGTTATCGATACGTTTCACGTAGGGAAACATTCGCCGATTCGCGATAACTAACATTCTACATTCCTTGTTGCTCATTGTGAAAATAAAATAGAGGCTATGCTCGCAGATACGATTTTTTGAGCACGTCAGGGAGAATGTATTTTAACAAACGAATTAGCAATCGATGAGGAGTATGAACACGCAGATATATTCGAACCACCGAATCAGAATCATGAATTACACGAATTTATTCATCTAATATTGTTATTACGCGGATATATTCGATTCTCCAAATCGGAATCATGAATTGCAGAAATTTATTCATTTAATATTGTTTCTTAGAGCGCAGAAAGCGGTAGTTTTAAAAATAGTACAACAGTTCCTCTGCAAGTATGCTAAACTGTAAAAGTGATGAAGAGAAATTCATAAAAAGATTGTCTGTCCCAATGATTTTGTATATGTATGTACTTCAGTAATATTTTTACCAATTCATGTACTACAAAGAGCAAAACTGATCCGGTACTCTTTAAAACTGTTCTTTAATAATCGAAACAAATGATCCAAGCTTTTTTTAGATACACTAATTTAATCTAAATGATCAAATTTTCATTACAAGCCTAAATAAGAAAGTTAAAAAAACGACCTTCACATGTTTCCTCGCCATTTCTACCAATCTAACTGCTACAAAATACTTGGGTCACCGATAGTTCGAATATTAAAGACTTATTCAGTTTTAAAGGGTTTGGTTCACTTTTGCTCTTTACTGTATGACTCACGCTTAACTACAATAGAGAAAATGAGTGAGTGAGTGAATGAGTGAGTGAGTGAGAGGGTGTGTTCTGTACTCTGTACATAATCGCTTATGATAAAAACATCACACGTATAAGAAACACATTGTTTATCACGTCCGTAAACCAATTGAGGTCTAACATATTTTTTGAACTATGTATGTATAATACTTATGTACGTGTAAATTTCTACCACGCACTGTATTGAAAATATATATTTTTTATAAGAGTATTTATATTGAACATTGCAAAATGAAGCAATAAAAGTACTGTCCTGGTACATAGCGAAGGACTTTCAATATATACGTGTTCCTCTTTTCATTCGTTATTAACAGACTGCGAATCTATATGCAAAATAAACAATTTGTAATGTAAATGTACCAAACGAAATCTAAATAGGAATTAATTTTTTATTTTAAAAATCGTAACATAAATTTCACTTTTTACG